TTTTACATTTGTCTTTTGAATTGTTTATTTACGCTAAAATTATATATACGTGTGAATGTATGGTTATATGTTTGTATGTATGAATGTATGTATGCATGTATGTATGAATGTATGTATGTATGCATGTTTGTTTGTTTGTATGTATGCATTGCGTATTCGTGCATGTATTTGCATATGGGAATAGAGAAACGCAATGTTTTTAATGGAAAGCCTGATGATATTCAGGTCTTTTTATTTTTTTTGGAAAGTTTTATCAAATTTTCTTCGTTCTATTTAATGTTTCGTTGAGGTTGTTGCTGTTGTTGCATCCTTTAGTTTAGTTGTTGTTAGTGTCGATTTGTAAATTTTAAATTATCCCATCTTCTCTTTTTTTTCCCCAACTGTCACCGATTTCTCTTTCTCTCTCTCCCTCTTTCTTTTTTTTCTCTCTCTCTTTTTTATTCGCACATTTTCTCATACAATTTTTTACAATATCTATTTTATTTTTTTTCCATTTTCCAATACGTCCGTAATTGCTTAGGAGTTTGTTTATGTGTGTGTGTGTGTGTGTGTGTGTGTGTGTGTGTGTGTGTGTGTGTATGGGAAGCCACACAAGCCGTGCAGTGCGCGCATTATTTAAAAAAAATCGTTTTCGCGTTCAATACTTTTGTTGCTGATGTTGTTGTTATTGTTGCTGCGGTTGTTGTTATTATTGCTGCGGTTGTTGTTGTTTTTGTTGTTGTTTTTGTTATTGTTGTTGTTTATTATTGTTATTTTTATTGGTCTTCCATTTTGTGTATGTTTTTTCGATAGCGTTTTATGGGGCCGCATTGTATATTACTAGATTGAAAATTATTATTGCTAATTATGTTGTTGTTGTTTTTGAGATTAATGTGGTTGTTGTTGTTGTTGTTGAGATTAATGTGGTTGTTGTTGTTATTATTGTTAACAATAACAATGAAAATAATAATGACAACAATAACAACAATAAAAAATTTGAGATTGTCGTTATTTCTTGGCAGTTTCTACCAGTGTTGTTATTTTTTTTCTGTGTTGATGTTTTGTTGCTACTAATTCTACTTCTCATGATAAATACTTTGATGTTTGACCCCACCTCTTTCTCCCTCCCTTTCTCTCTCTCTCTCCCTCTCTCTCTACCGTTCCTCTTCCTAAGTTTATCTCCTGTTCGTTCGCGGAGCAAGTTAATTGTAAATATTAGAAATCAATGAAGAAGACCAGATTATAATGTGATGTGTGTATGTTTGTTCTCTCTCTCTTTATCTCTTACTCTCTCTTTCTCTCTCTGTCTGTTTATCTCTCATGCTCTCCCTCTTTATCTATATATTTATATTATTAATGTTTCTATTTGTGTGTCTTCATTTTCGATGTCTTATCAGATATATCAATTGAACCTAAGCTCCCCGGTTTACTTATTCTCACTTCTTCTTAACTCCTGCTAAACACTCCTTTGCTAAATCTACATTTGCTTGTTTTGGCCCTTCTTTCTGGTACTCTCTACCTCTTTCTCTGACTACTTCTCAATCACTTGCGATCTTCAGTGCGGATCTCAAGACTAGAAAAGAATTAGTTAAAAAAATAGGGAATCGGAATTTTTGGGAACGTTGTCATAAATGGGAATTCGGGAGAGAATCTGGAATAAGAAAAAAAATGGAAGAAATTGGGAACAAATTTCAATTCCCACTCGTCTCTTGTATGTGGATATAAATACAAAAAATATATGTATATACATGTTGGTATATAGATAATGATACACATTTACAAATGCATACATATCCACAGACAAACAGCATATTTAAGATATTATGCATGCAAGCGTGCAAGCGTGCCAACAATAAATTCACATCTAAAAACAAACAAAAAGAGAGAAGAAGCATATTGTTTCAAAATAAAATTCAGAATCGACGAGACACGCACATCACTAAATTTGGACCCCTAGGCTGCCTAATTCAACGATTTTTTCTTAGTATTTATCACGTTAATTGTAACTAACAAAATAACGCCGCTACGATCCGATACGCGAATTGAACTGTTCGTCGGTATGTATGTGCTATCCGAATAGTCGTAGACGTGCTCTTATTTTGAATATTAGGGATGTGCTGTTATCTGAATATCGGGGATGTGCCGATAGTGAGCGATTAGTCAGGCGAGGCGTGTCATAACGATCGACCTGATGATTTATCGGTTTTATCCTCTTCTATATATTCGTATTTATCCGGAACTATAATATTCGCCGACCGCTTAGTAGTCGGATGCGTGTATGTATGTATATAATTATGTGTGTGTGTCTGTGTGTGTGCGTCTGTGTCTGGGTGTGTGTTATTGTTGTTGTTTCTCATTTTTGATAATTTTTACCGTCTGACATAAGTTGATTAATTCGCTTCTGAAATTTGCAAGCGTCCTGTCTGCATGCCCTGAAAATAAAATTTCTTTTTTCAACTTTTATAAAACATAAAAATAATTTTAAATATTTTTCTGGAATAAAATAATTAAAAGATAAGATCTTATTATTAATATTATTTGTAATAATAATAATGTTATTGTTATTATTATTATTGTTGTTAGTAATATTTCTGTTTTTTTTTGTTTATTTAATTTTTATTGATTCAATTCTATCTCCCTTATCTGTTTTTCAGTTGTAGATGGTGAACATAATGACTCTTTATGACCCGAAAAATGTACGTTTAATACACAAGGCCTTTCTATTTTTATATTTCGCTTTAATTTTATTATTCATGTTTTAATTATTTTTATTTATTATTATTGTTAAATATAATTATCTACATCATTTTCATCATCGTCGTCGTCGTCATCGTCGTCATCAGCATAGCGGTAAACTTTTCCAAATTCATATTTATGTTGCGCCTAAAATTATCTCATCTAAAAGTATTATAAATATTTCCCTTCTGTCAAAAAAATTTTTCCCAGACAAAAATTGAAAACAAAAATGGAAAAACAAAAACCCACATACGTGAAAGAGAGAGAGAGAGAGAGAGAGAGAGAGAGAGAGAGAGAGAGAGAGAGAGAGAGAGAGAGGAGAGAGAGAGGGAGAGAGAGAGAGAGGGAGAGAGAGAGAGAGAGAGGGAAAGAGAAGAGAGAAAAATTAACTGAAGGGAAAAGAGACAGTGATAAAGGCATGCAAGCACTACAGTAAGAAAACACACACATACATAAGACACACAATCACATGCAGACACGCACACACACATGCACGCACATACAGACAAACACACGCATGCATACACTAAAAGGAGAGACTTTTGCTGCCTAAACGGCCACCACTAATATATTAAACGTGCCAGAAAAAGGTTAATCCAGACATGACTGATTATATTTCCAATATGAACTCTAGCCCCAAATGCCAATGTTACTCTTTTTCTCTAAATTTCGTTTGATTTTTAGTAAAATTCATTAATTACTTGATCGAAAATAGTAATAATGTTTATATTTTGTAAAATATCTTGCATTTTTATGAGTTTTTTGGATTTTTTATGATACAATGAATTTTTCTCAAATGTAAAAATTTTTTGTGGCTTTCCATAGAGTGTTTAAATTTGCATTCACTGCAGTCCCTGCTGCCTAGTTTCAGTTTTCGTCAGCACTGTAATTTCAAAGAAGATCTACAAAAATGTCGGAACAACGTCATTTTTTTGTCGGCGGCAATTGGAAAATGAATGGGACGTACGCCAGCATTGACGAAATTCTCAAATTTTTGAACGGGGACAACTTAGATCCCAAAACCGGTTTTCAAATCAATGTTCTGCAATTTTCACTTTAAAATTTAAACTTTTTCAGATCTACCCAGTTTAATTATCGTTATTTATCTATTGGATCGTTTACATTCAGTCACTAATTCAACTCGTCATAGGAGCTTAAACCCAGTTATGTGCATATTATTTACTTTACATAAATAATGTAAAACATCATTTGAATTGACCTTGGTGTGTTAATGTCAAGGCCACATATCCAGGCTTATTTCCAACATTTATGCAACTTTAATTGAGCAAAATTCTTTATACCCTAATTTACCTTTCACTAATTGGTGGTTGAATACAATTTGATTCAACAGAAATTGTGGTTGCACCGCCATCTTTATATTTATCCTATGTTCGTGGTAAGCTGAACAAAAATATTTCTGTTGCCGCTCAAAATGCATACAAAGTTGAGAAAGGAGCTTTCACTGGGGACATAAGGTTACAAAAATGTCACTAATCACCAATCTTCATTGACTCATTAATTATTTTATGCATCACAGTCCTACCCAGATAAAAGATGTTGGAGGTGATTGGGTTATTCTTGGTCACTCAGAGAGGCGACATGTTTTCAAGGAGCCCAACGAGCTGATTGGTGAGAAAGTAGGTCATGCACTGTCGGCTGGTTTGAAGTTGATTCCGTGCATCGGGGAAAAGTTAGAGGAACGTGAAGCCAACAAAACTGAGGAGGTGTGCTTCTGCCAGATGAAAGCAATTGCTGGTATGATCATACTTTCTTATGTACTATTTTTTCATGTTATATCTGACCAAATCTAAGACAGGTGAGAGGTTGATTATGCATTTGATAGTGGCTGGCTGAATAGTTAGAATGGCTATTATGTATCTAGGGCTACTATACCATCAGTTAAAAAATTAACTCACTATCACTACACTGCATTAATTAATTAATTGACTGACTGTGAATTGACAAATCTCTATTGATGAAATAATCAATTGTAAAAATTAATAATTCACACATATGGACACACACGATCTGCAAATCTAAAAATATTCAACCCATCACTGCACAGAGAATGTAAAAGACATAAACGATTGGAAGCGCATAGTCATAGCCTACGAACCCGTCTGGGCCATTGGGACGGGCAAGGTGGCCACGCCCCAGCAAGCCCAAGAGGCCCACCACAGTGTTAGGCAGTGGATCAGCAAAAATGTCAGTCCAGATGTGGCTAAGTGTGTCAGGATTATTTATGGAGGTTTGTGTGTGAGTGTGTGTATAAGTAATACCAAGTATTTGTGAATGTGTGTGATGAGTGCTTGTTTTAATTAGATGATTAATTTGATTGGCTGGTTGATTTAATTGGTTGGTTGATTTAATTGGCGGGTTGATTTAATTGACCAATCAATTGATTTGTTTATGCTTAGGTTTCTGATATCAAAGATTGATCAATCTCACCCACAGGTTCAGTGACAGCAGGAAACTGCAGAGAACTTGCTCAGCAACCGGATGTTGATGGGTTCTTGGTTGGTGGAGCCTCACTGAAGTCAGAATTCGTTGACATCATCAACGCTAGGAAATAAATGGAAATTAAAATGGAGATCATTTTATTTCAAATTTTTTTCATCAATATTTTGCACTTACTTGGCAATGATAATGGCGATTTTTCAAACAAATTAACGTTATTTACCTGGTTGTATTGCTGATTTTTGTTTTGGCTCATATTAAAAGCGAAATATATAAATAAATATACTGTGCTCAACCTAGTAATTTTGAGTGAAAGGCTTAAAAAAGGCAGAATTTATCGGACTAGCGGTGTTTTTGAATTTTGAAAATAAATTTTGACGTGTGTATGTTTATACATACGGTTATGAACCAAATCAAACCATAAACCCATTAACATTGGCTGTTAAGAATAACAAGAAATAGTTATAGAAAATAATATGAATAGTTATAAAAGTAATAATAATAAAATAATAGCAAGAGTAACGAAAATAACTGTGTTAAATAAATATATGATTCATCAAGTTGTTCACAGCAAATAAATAAGTTATTTCTCGTGTTGACGGTCAGACGAAATGATGATTGCTACCAAATTAAAACAGTGATGATAATATTTATTATCGTTGGGATTGCGTCATCATTATGAGTGAATGAATGAGTGATTGAGTAGATAGATGAATGAATAATTGATGATAATAAAATAATGGTAATTATTATGTTAAAGAGATATGATGCTATAGCTATGTTAGAAATATTTATGATTCATACAATAACATCCATAGCATTGGCAATAATGGTGTTTCATGTGATGATGAATATAAAGTTTTAATGATATATTAACAAATCACGATCTATCTATCTACAAATAACAATGTACATAGATACAAACAAAGTACACACATATATACATGAATTTTAAATACATAGATACATGCACGCAGATTCATCACTCACACATACAAACCACATATATAATACACACATACCACACGCAAAATACACACACATACGTTCAAAAACAAATGGAATCATTTAAGTTCAACTAAAGTCAAATCATATTCTGGTCGCCTGTTGTATAAATATTATGATTGGCTGGCTAAAAATTATGTAAGCAGGTCAATCAAAGTTGACCCAATTTGATGTCGTGGCTTTCTGGACCACTACAGATTGCTGTGGCTTGTTCACTGGCGCACTGTAAATAAAAACTAAGAATTAAAAATAAATAAAATATAATAGCCGTTTTAATAGTTTCAATCATTAAGAAGTTGAAGAAAAAACATTTAAAGACCTGGCAAAATCCTGCCAAACATCACTAGCTCCAGCACTAAATGGATTGTTATTAGCAGTTTGGCCAGTAGTCGTACCTATGGGGTCCAGATCTATTAATAGATCAATATTTGATGCTACTGTCTTTTTATCACTGCTGCTAGTAGTACAAGTGGTGACCATATTGCTATTGATAAGTAATGAGCTGTCCTGTAATGTCGGCGATGGTCGGGGAGGACCTTGAATTTTTACACCACCTGGCGGTGGGGGCAGTAAAACAGCTCCGCCAGCTTTGGTGCGAGTTTTTGACGAGGTAGAAGTTGGTGTTGTGCTTGTGTTGTCACCTGTTGTTTTCTTTGTCTGTGGGAATTGAAATGAAAAAAAATGGAAAAAGTTATTTATAGGTATAGTCAGAAAATGTTACACTATTATGATAATTTAAAAAAACTGTAAAGACTAAACTGCAAAATTGAGTTTGATAGTCTGCCCTTCTTTGAAACCAAGATTGAGTTTGGGTGCATGTTGCTCATTCAATGACAGAGACCCCAGATTGCTCGACGTCTCTTCAATTTCTTTTTCTTCTCTTTTTACATGTCTATTTTTTTTTTTTTATTAGAGGTGCATACACTTTATCAGTTGACAAAAAATTTCATTTACAAATATATAGCAAAAAAAATTCTAATTACTTGAAATGATCTTGAATGGCAACCATCAAATCGAATGAGTCTCCTCTATCTGCAAACCCAATCCCGATGAAAGCATTCCTCCCCGTTCCATCCTGAATACGAAGGACAAAGTACCGACTCGAATCGAGAACCTGCTCGACTGCTATGGAGGGATAGGCCTCAACGGGACATTGTGCAAATAACTCACCTGTTGTATATATATATATGTATTTAATTTGAAATTCACTAATTTTCACCAGTTTTTATCTAGATCAGCAGCAAAGTTTATCTATAATAGCTATAGATTTATTTTCCTTTATTTTATATTACTATGTAGGATTGATTTATGTTTAAAATATTTAAAAAATATTATGATTGTCATTAAAATATATAGAAGATAATCATTATGATGATCCATTAAAAAAACAAGCAAACTAAAAATAAAATTGAAATAAACATGTCAATAGTGAGCGAAAGCTACTAGTAAAGTTTAAATTAAAAGTAAGTAAATCCAACTATACTATGGCTTACTAAATAAAAAAACTAAAAAAGGCTTCTTTTATTTAAAAATTAAAAGTTAATTTTAAAATTTTATTATAGTAAAAGTAAATGAATAATAACACATACCTGATGACTTATCTTCAAGTTTGATACTAAGATCCCTATCTTTTGAGACAACTTTCAGGCGGCCAGTCCAGTCCGGTTCATCTAATTTCCACTCTGCTGCCCTTCAGGAGGAAAAAATAGTTAAGCATAAAAAAAAGCCATAAAATTATAAAAAAAAACGCAGAATTGATATAGAGAAAAATTTTTTAAATGACAATAATTGAAATTTTCACCTATATCCCCTATTTGTGGCTCTTGCCGGAATTCTGTAGACAAATACTTCTTGTTTGATGCACAAAACACTTTCATATACGTCCGCCATTTTTATTTAAATTATTTTTACTTTTTAATTGTGGTTTTAGAGAATAATGTTAAGGCGCTGTACATTCTAAAGTCTCAATAAAAATGTGTTCAACGTTTGTAACAAACATGTGTATGTGTGTATGTGTATGTGGTATAGTACAGAAGATGCAGAGAGTAGTATAGATACCATTCAACAATCAGAAACTATAGCATGAAAATTGACAAATCATCTGATGTGAAGTCACGGACAGACATGCGTTCATTTAAACAAGACAAATCGCATTCTTTTGCTATCTTCAAGGCTCCTGGTTCAAAAGCAGAGACATGCCAGTCCGTCTGGCAATTATACACGGAAGAGTGAGAGAGAGAGAGAGAGATAGGTAGAGAGAGAGAGTAACCATTTTTTGTAGACCTATTCATTCATCAAAGCTAAAAGAATTTCGATACTAAAAAGATTTATAATAAGAATTTATATCAAAAGATAACATATTTAAAAATATAATATTAATTGGCAAGGGGAATGATGGATGTTAAGAGATAAGAAAATAATATATCACTAACACACAGACACGCACGCAAACACACAAACACACATATACATACGCACACACGTACACACACACACACATACAAACACACACATACAAACACACACACACACACACATGATTATATATAATTATTTATTTGAAAAAATAGAGAGAAATTATGTTTATATTTTCGCTGTTACATTCTTCAACCTGTCAAAAGCTCATCACAAATAACAACAACAACAACAACAATAATAATAATAATAATATATAATAACAATAATAACTATTGTAATAATAATAATAATAAGTGAGAAATTAATACCATTAAAATGTTTTTTAGATAAAAAACATTGATCAACTCGTACATGAAGAAAACAAATTTGTATTATTGTTATTATTGTTGTTATTATTGTTATTATTATTATTGTTGTTGTTATTATTATTGTTGTTGTTGTTGCGTTATTATTAATGTCTGATCTACTATAAAATGAAATGAGAATGCTTAAATTAATTATCCTGTAGTAAAGTCGTCGTAATAAAAATTAAAAAAAAAACCACCACCATAATAATAATAACAATAATAATAACAATAATAATAATAATAATAATAATAATAACAATAATAATAACAAATAATAATAATAATAATCCAAATATTTATGCGATATCTTTATCACTCATCAACAACATTACCAGGTAGCGTTAGCTATAAAACATTAAAATTTCATCCTCATCGTCTTCATCCTCATAATCATCATCATCATCATTATCATCATTATCATCATTATTATTATTATTATTAGTAGTAGTAGTAGTAGTTGTAGTAGGGGTAGTAGTGGTTGTGGTGGTTAATTTATAAGAATGTAGCATTGGCAAATAAGATATCGGTTATTATCATTACTGATTTATGTTATTACTATTTATTTTATTATAGTTATTATTATTATTATTATTATAATAATTATTATTTTTATCCTTTTGTTAGCATCATTATCATCATCGTCATAAATAATTTTTTCAAAGAGCTGTTTTTCAGCTGAAATAAACTTCGGCGAGATATGACTAGCTAGTGCGTTTATGCAAAAATTACACTCCGGCTTTCATTCATTCATTCATTTGTTCGTTTGTTCGTTCGTTCGTTTGTTCGTCCATCTATCTGTCAATTAACCTTTTCTTACAGAACTCAGATAAGCGTGATAATATATTGTCAGTTTATCAAAACGAATCTTTTCATATACATTAATCACCATCATCGTCACCACGATCTGATGATCATCACCATGATCATCATCATCATCATCACCATGATCAT